CTCGATCGAAGTTTATTTCGGAGTCTTCCGAATCGAAACTTAACTCTGACTCCAGTGACGAAAAAGAAATAATTCTGAGACAAAACTCGGACGTTTTAGTCCCAAAATACATCGGAACGATTAGTTTTGTATTCCATCTTCTCGAGAAAATACAGAGAGTTGACTGAGGCGCTATTGTGTTTGGTTCCTGGGTAGACGTCATCAGGTAGCGCCGCCCCAGACTCCCTAAAACGCGGTCGTGAAACACTTCAAGCGCGACTTTGAAAGGGCATAGAAAATCGAGGATTCAACCAATTTCAAAAATTTCTTCGGCCAAATGCTTTAAATCAAGTCTAGATTCGTTTTAGCGAAAAAAAATTTTGGGGTTAGGTGCACTTTAATACTACAGTCAGTAATAACATAATCCATGGAATTCAGTCGAGTGCTTAGGTGGATAAACTTATGTGATGCCTAAACTACTCGAGGCGCCTCAAATTCATTCGCAAACCGCCATCAATGTTCCCATTAATGACATACATCAGGGCCGGGTTGTTCTAAAGCCAGTTACCGCTAACCCAGGATTAAAAGTTAACCAAAGTATTCATTCTTCTTTCATAAAAATGTTTTAAACTTGTTATGTTTCGAATATTTCAAGATTAATCAAGCTCAAAACTGAAGGACAAACAATATATACAGAAAATATCACCGAAAAGTTTCAAAACTGAAATCAAAATTCTCGCTAATCCTGAGTTAGTTTAACCCGACTTTAAACAACCCGGCCCTGTTGGTTTGGGTTAAACTGATGATGTGCCATTGCTCTTGAATTTCCACTTTGCAGTACAGCTGCCATCCATTCCTGCATGGTTCTGGCTGGGTTCTCCTGGTCACTGCGCTCTTTTGTGAGCTTGTAAATCCCGCTGCCAATAAAGCCTCCCAATAACCCTTCTATGGCAATACCAACGGCCCCACCCAAGGGTCCCAAAACAAAACCGATTGCGCCAATGCATCCACGCACACCAACTCCTATCTGGGTCCCCGAGTTTGCTAGTGACACCCATGTGTAGATGACTCCGAAGGCGAAGAGGACCGTGCATACGACTTCCTTAAGGAAGCTGAGTAGGTTCTGCGGCATTTTGTCCATGCTCCGTGGGTTCTGTAACATAAGGCGGAAAATGTGAAAGACAGAAGGCAGGGTAATTCCCAAGTTACCATCATCAGGGTTCAGTATGGTCAAGAAATTTCTCACATTCAAGATCGCCTCTTCCACAATTTCAGATGTTTCTC